TTTTGTAGTTTTGATTTCCATTTCTTTTGATAATTAGTGATGCTGAGCACTTTCAAGTGCCTATTGGCCATTTGTCGTCTTCATTGGAGAAATGCTTGTTTAGGTCTTCTGCCATTTTGGATTGGGTTGTTTGTTTTTTGTTTTTAAAAGTTATGAGCTGTTTATATATTTGGGAAATTAAGCCTTTGTCAGTCAAACATTTACAGATATTTTCTCCCATTCCGCAGGGTGTCGTTTTGTTTTGCTTATGGTTTCCTTTACTGTGCAAAAGCTTGTAAGTTCAGTTAGGTCCCACTTGTTTATTTGTGCTTTTATTTCTGTTGCTGGGGTAGACTGCCCTGGGAGTACACTGCTGAGATGTGTGTCGGGTAATGTTTTGCCTATGTTTTCTTCTAAGAGGTGTATAGTGTCTTGTCTCCATGTTTGTCTTTAAGCCATTTTCAGTTTATCTCTGTGTAGGGCGTGAAGGGGTATTCTAACTTCATTGATTTACAGTCAGCTGCCCAGTTTCTGAGCACCACTTGCTGAAGAGACTGTCTCTTCTCCATTTATTTTTGCCTCCTTCGTCGTAGGACGCGGGAGCGCGCCCAGAGCGTGTGGACGCTGGGCGGGAGCCGGGTGCCCCTGGACCAGCTCCCGGAGGAGGAACGTGGCCGGGGGTCTGGGCCGCTGCTTTCTGTCACTTCTGCTGCCGTCGCCGGGCAGGTAAGGGGGCGCTGGTGGGGGCGTGCAGGTCGGGGAGCCGGCGGGTGAGGCCTGTGCTGTGCAGCTGGGGAGGCGCACAGGGAGGGGTGCGGAGGTGAGGTCCGGGCCCCGTGTCCCTGTTCGGACCCTGAGGCAGGTCCCAGGCCGCTGCCCTGGTTGAGGTAACCCCCTCCCCCAGATTAGTAATCACTGAATCCTGCGTCTTTCTTGCTGCAGCTCATGTGCGGTTTTGGGAAAGTGGCTGAATTATTATGGCTGAATAATATTCCTCTGTGTGTGTGTGTGTGTGTGTGTG